TTTCAACAATGAGATAAGTTTTTTGACAAGACGAGATTTAAACTGTGAACATTTACGATAGGGTATTCAAATTTGTGTGCCATGAGGCGTACTGCAATAGCTTTTTTTTTTTGCTAAAAAAAAAGTTTAGGAGGAGATTGGTTACTCTCATCACCAACGGCATTGCCAAAAGAACTTATTCGTGGCATCTAGTTGTCATCTGCCACCAGTGTGTATTTACATAGAAATTTACAGATCATGCACAAACGAGAATTAACGTCATGACTTGAACCTTGGTGAGGTGACACACAAAGCATAACCTTACCAACTTAGCCAACCCTCTTCGGCCTGCAATAGCTAATTTGAGAATATTACAAGCTTAGGGTTTACTTGGAAGTTAAGCCCAAATTCCCCTATTTTACATTAAAAATGAACTTAATTAAGTAATTACAAGTAATACATGTTATTGGCCTAACTAAGTACTGATTTGGTACTGAGATGCTTTTATAAAAAGTAGAGCTTTAATGAAAATGACTTGAACTAAGTTTATTTTAACAAAAAACCATCCTATAACTTTTTTTTAATATAAAAAACTTGAAATTTAATAAAAAGGACAAAATATAATATAATAAAAACAAAAACTAAAGTCTCATAAGTAGGAAATGAGCCCACATGCAAAACCAAGACTTTTTATTCCAACCAATGCCCCTGACGGAAACTCCATTCCGTCAGTCCAATTCCATCAGAAAATTGAATTTATTATTTTAATTATTAATTGATTAGCACTATAATTAGGCATATATATATATATAAGTATATCCACCACAAAATAGCATATTAAATTTCAAGTACACCAATCTTTCCCATTTCTCAAACACACCGTAGAAAGCAATGGGAGCAACTTCACTCATTTTTTTTCTTACTCAAACATTCTTTCATTTAACCCGATCTCCGACACAACCTGAAAACGAAATCGAAACCGAGAGAGAAAAGTGCATGTCGTGTACCAGAGGTTTGTCAGGTCTTTTTGAGCACGGCACAAGTTGCTTCCCTCTGCATCTCCTCACTGCTTTTGGTTTGAATGCATGTGATGTGAGAAGTTCTTCCTTCCTTCCTCATCCTACATGCTATCTTTTACTAATTAAATTTAGAGCCCAGCCAACATCTTCCTCATTTGTTTGCCATATCCACATACTCTTTTACTCGCAGAACATTAATCATATGTAACTAAAATTGAATTGATTAAATCTTGATTGGTCTCAACTCTTAAGGGAAATTAGGCCAGGTTATGTCTTTTATTTTTGGGGTCATGGGGCTTGAGTGGAGGTTCAACTACATTAATGACGTGCATAAAAATTTGTAAAAGAAATAGAGGAACTAAAATGAGAAAGAATGATAGCTTATTTACTAATTTATAAATTAGTAAGAAATAGAGGAATTGAATTAAGAAGGATTTAGAATGAGAAAGATTCAAAATCATGTTAAATGCTTATTGAAATATTTATAGAATCAAAGTAAGATTAATATAAATTTCCTATAAGCTATTCATAAGTTAAACACTAACTATTTCTTAAACACACACACACACACACACTCTCTCTCTCTCTCTCTCTCACTATTTTTAAACTGATTATTTAAAAAAAAAAAAAATGAACACAGGTACTACAGTATTTCTGAAACTATACTCTGACTATTTATGAAACTGAAAACGGCTATTACACTATTTTTGAAACTAAACACTAGCTATTTATGAAACTGAACACGAGTATTATCACTATTTTTAAAGGAAAACTAATAAAAATGGCTTGAAAATTTTGAGTTTTAACGATAAAGACAAAATAAATGGTAACATGAATAGTACCATGATTGACTTTTTAGTGTAAAAATGTGATTTTTCGTTAAAGTGAATAGTACCGGAAACTTTTCGTTAAAGTTCCCAATTTTTAAATTAAGCACTGGTACTATCACTATTTTTTAAACTGATCACTAATTATTTTTTAACTAAACATGAGTATTACACTATTTCTGAAATTAAACACTTACTATTTCTAAAAATTGACCATGAGTAGTATCACTATTTCTTAAACTAAATACTGATTCTATCGCTATTTTTTAAATTAATCACTGAATATTTCTGAAATTGAACATGGGTACTGCACTATTTCTGAAACTGAATACGGGTACTACACTATATCTCAAACTGAAAACTAACTATTTCTGAAAACCAAACATGTGACAACTCGTTCCAAATTTTACGTTTTTATTTTATTTTAAAAGCGTGAATTTACAAAATTGCCCTAGAGGCAAGGACTTTGACTTTTGTTGACCATCAACTCAAGAGATGTGGGACTTATTCTTTTAGCATATCCTCGTAGTACTTATTGGTACGAACGTATAGACGAAAGCTGTTTGCGAGTCCAAATTATAACGGTATAGTTACAGACGTTCGAAATTGGTTATTCAAGGTTTAGCGTTTATTTAAATTAAATCCCCCCTTGTGGGGAAAAGCCCAATCAGAATTGGAAGAAAGAAAAAAAAAAAAAAAAAAAAAAACGGGAAGTGGGTTTTCGTCCACCCGCACCCACCGCGGGTTCCCATTTTCCAAGGTCGATTCCGGCCAACTCCGGTGGAGTTTTTCGATGCCACCACCACCATCTTGAAGCTCTCATTCCCCTCTACAAAACCCACCCAAGAACCACCTTGATTAACCATGGGATGTAGAGGTTTGAGGCCACGAAAGTTGACAAAAATCAATGGTGCTCCGGCCACCCTTCTCGATTTTCCGGCAAATCGGCAAAGCAATGGCCGATGCCACCACTTGGGCTTTGTAGCCCATCATCCCAGGAGCAAAATCCAACCAACCTTGACCCCGTTGGACCACCGTAGAAGACGAATTGACGTCGGGAAGTTTTAGGCACCCGCCGGCTTCGTGGGCAAAATTGACCATCTTCCGTCCATTTTTGGACTTCGTGGCAGGGACCGATCATTCAGGACGCCTCGATGTGTGCGCTAGAGAAGTATAGCGTGGACTCTAGGTGAGTGGATCTTTTCCTTTTTATTGTGCATATTATTGAGAGTTCTATCGACACTCTTAAATTGATTAGGTATATTACCTTCATATAATTATTGTGAATGCTTGAAGTACCTATATGAACTACGAATGGCTTGATCCCTATTTAGGGTACGTAGGCAGTCTAACGAGACGTTAGATGCAGCCATAAAATATTTGAGACAAAAGTCTTGCTTGGGAAATTGAGTAATGCGAAGGAAATTGGTAAAGACAAGTTTTAGTTTTGTGAATTAGTTAGTTAAATTAGAGTTAATTGGGTTGTCATGGATAATTATCCCTGAAAATAAGTAGTTTGGGAGTAGGGCGTTATTGATTGTACACTTCACACCATATTGTTTATAATTGAAAATGCTACGACATGGTTGAGTAGTAGATTGCATCATGATATATCCATATGTATATTACTTGCATATAATTATTGGGAATGCTTTCAAGTCCAAAGGTGAGCTCAGGACACCTAGGTAAGTTCAGGTGAGTTTATGGTACTAGTTGAATCGATTGCGTTATAGCCTGACTACAGTTATGAGTTAGGCAACTTCGATACTGTCGTACTGGTTGCCATGAATTGCACATGTTATATTGAGATGCATTGAGAGCTCATAAACCTGCACCCTGGTGTTAGTGCTCCCGCCAGTGGCCAGGGCACAGTCCTTCACGTGATGTTTACCTCCCGCACCTTACGTTCACCTTGGATCCAAGGTAGGTGCACAGCCCTGTCGTACAGACCACTTTAGGCGGTTCCGACTCGTAGGTGACCCGCGATTATTCGTCCAGTTTTCACGTGATCGTAGCACTTGAGCGTATTTATTTACACCCAGTCCTGTCGTACAGACCATTTTAGGTGGTTCCGACTCGTGTGCAGGTATACTTATTGAGCTATATGCTAGCCATGATTGACGAGATATGGATAAGTCGTACAGGTCACTATAGGTGACTCCGACTTATATGCTAGCCAAGATTGACGAGATATGAATAAGTCGTACAGGTCACTATAGGTAACTCCGACTTATATGCTAGCCATGATTGATGAGATACGGATAAGTTGTACATGTCATTTTAGATGACTCTGACTGATATATAACTTTGTATTGATTTAGTTCATTTGGCCTACTTATTAATGTATGGTGGATTTGATGGCAAACCGTGGTTTTGGTCATTTCTGAGTATGGTTTGGATATATGTATATATGTTGTACTGTCTTACGGAAAACGATACGGGTTTTACATTTAGGGGCATTACTTTTAAAGAGGTAGTAACTTTGGGAAGCTTGGTTTTATTGCTTACTCACACCTTCTGTTTGGTGCCCTCCAGGTTTTAGCTGCTGAGTTTGTATCGACAAGAATCTATGGCGAATCTTAGTATTAATGGATATTTTTGAGGGTATGATTCTTACCCACATTACTGTACCTTACTTATGCTCTGACATCGCGTGTGAAATGGGTTCGCTCCCACTCGTAGCGCACTCTGGTATTTAGACACTTTTAGATTCAAATTCATTCACTTTTTATACACTATCACATTTTATGGCTTCGTCACCTTCCAGGTGTCGGCCAGCACAGCTCGATTCAGGGTCCAAGTGGACTTTCTGGGTCGGGGTGTGTCAAAACATGTGTATTATCACTATTTCTTAAACTAAATACTGATCTATCACCATTTCTTAAATTAATCACTGACTATTTTTGAAACTAAACACGGGTACTGCACTATTTATGAAACTGAGCACATGTACTACACTATATGTAAAACTCAAAACTGACTATTTCCGAAAACTAAACACATATATCATTATTATTTTTTAAATTGAATACTGGTTCTATCCTTATTTCTTAAATTAATCACTGACTATTTCTAAAACTGAACACGGGTACTGTACTATTTCTGAAACTGAGCACAGGTACTACATTATATCTAAAACTGAAAACTGACTATTTTTGAAAACTAAACACAGGTATTATCACTATATCTTAAACTAAAACTGATTATTTCTGAAAATTAAAAACCTTGATCATACAATATGCACTCCTGCATTTACAAATTCAAGATCAAATGTGAATTAACCTTGAGTATTGATTTCTTTCGTATTAGGACAACAAAATCAATATCCCTTAGGGAAAAGTGCAAAGAATATGTCTGCCTTTTACACTAGCGCAGAGTTCCAGTGACTTTAGCTTGGCAGCAATTCGTGCTACGCAACCATCCACAACAAATATTGTTGAGATATACCAACGGGGTATTTCCAATCAGCTGCAGGAATCAAAAGGACAATGAGAATGCATCATAGGCCAAATCAAAGTATAAAACAAAATAAAAATTGAAAGCTAAATTGAATGCTTAAGCTTCATGAAGAAAAATGGTACTTCGGTGACATAGTTCTTGATTGCAAATTTGACTTGCATATTTATCTTCTCTTGCAGCAAACTGTGAAAGAAGTGAAAACAGATTCAAATGTTCAATTCTACGGCAAACCAACCAATTTTTATATTTAAAAAATAATTCATTTATTAATTTAAACAAAAAAAGTTCTACAAATCAAAAGCAACCAGAAAACTCCAAACACTTAATCATTTCATCTTCTTAAAATATCACTTGAAAAAGATATGAGTAAAATATTGCAAAAGCCCAGAAATAGTCAACTCAATCAAAACTAGAAGACCCCAAATATGCAGAAAATAAATAGAGAAAAAAACTTGAAGTATTTAACAAGAATGATTAATGTCAAAACAAAATACATATGTGAGAGTGGGAGAAAGTGGGAGAGAGAGCAGTTCAAACATAATTCCTATAACAATTTGGTTCTTCTAACAATCTATAGAAGCATCTTCCAATCTCATTGACATTGCATAGCCCGCAAAAACAAAACACTAGAAAGCATTGCCTGCCGGCAGTGGCAGGTGCTAAAAAAACTGACGTTTAATGCACGGAATCCACCAATGGTGACAGACCCAACCTAAATTTTTAAGAACCAACAATTATAACAAAAAAGTATATGAAAAAAATTAAGTTAACTACCATAAACAAAGTAAACAAAAAACAGAATAATAATTCTGGAATTTGTCCAATATTTAGCAGCAGATTTTCAAGATTTCAAGCAATATATTTCGCACCCAAATGCTAATAACCAATGAATAATCTAATTATGTCATTAAATATTAATAAATCATGTGAAACTTGAAATTATAGACCTTACAGGTACCTCTTGGAGTCCATCTGATTCTCTAAGCCATCTCTGATGATGGTCAGAACTCGCTTGAACTTCTAGTTATCAGTGGAAGATTGGTCGGGAGCGTCGCGAACTTCTCGAACTCTTCTTGGTCTTGACTTCCACATGGATCACAAGGGTGGCGTCATCTATATCGTCGACGATCTGATCGGAATTATAAATTGAGAAAATAGTAGAGAGAATGACATGATGTAGAAACCGTACAAAAGCTTTTTTTATCACATCTGAAGTGAAACGGATTAAATAAACGAGAGAATGTGTTGTCGGGGTATAATCGGAAACTCATTGTTTGGCGAGTTTCCTAACCATTAAATAAAGTTAGTAGGTGGTTTTTCGATTAAGATTCAAAGTTCAAATTTGTGAAGCCATTTTCCTTAGTTTTCTTTATAAAAAAAAGCTGAGCTCAAAAAGATATCTGATAAACACTTAAAAACAGCTTATTTTCACAGTTTTGGGTAAAAAAAAAGATGAAAACGTGAATCATAAAAAATGAACTTATTCTCACAGCACAGTAAAAGCAATTATTTTTTTTCAAAGCACAGCAATACCAAATTAGCGCTAAATATTTGTGGCAAACCACATGAGACACAGTATTCATGACAAAAACGATATGTTTATGTGAGTTCTCCTAGCTTTTAGAAGGGTAAACTACTGTGGCAAAGTCACCACCACTCCCTTTTCTAAAGAAAAAACAAGATGTTTCTTAGGTATTTGTGGCTTAACATCACATGTGAAGGGGCGTGAACGGGTGCGAAGACACTAGTATAACTAATTAATAATGGAAAGGGATATTGAATTTCAGATCCAGTTTTGTGCCAATTATTTAAGTTAACAACAAGCCCATGGGCTCACAAACTCAGCCTTTAAAATATTGGGCCAAGAGGCATGTGGTCCATATATGTTGTCAGACAGCCCACAAACAATTCTTTGACTGGGAGTCCAGGATCAAAGCTTTGAGCTTTGGAAAAGAGTCGAGGGAAACAGAGATGGCGGCTAACTGCGCGAGGCGAACCCTACAATTCTATTCAGCTTCTGCAAAAACCATTCTGTCCCGTCCACCGCCTTCACCTTTCGCCTCCAATGCTTCTAAGCTGACCGAACTCACTTCCCTTAAGCCCGCTTCTGCTCCTCGACTCGCTGCCCAGAAGCTCAAGTTCTCAAGGTTAGAATTTTTTTTTTTTTTTTTTTTTGAACTTTAATTTTGTACATATGTTAGCAATTGATTGAAAAAATTAAATTGGAAAACTGAATTTTGGGTCTTTTGTGCATACGGGTTTTTTATTTTTATTAATTTCGGTTGTATGATTAGTTTTTATGTTCTTCATTCTACTGAAATTTCGAGCATTGTTAGGAAAACAGATGAATTTGTTACTAAATTTATAGTCAATATGATTTGAGAAAACATCGTTTGTGTTCAATTCATGAACTTGTTATTGTTGTGTTGACTGGTGGGTATTAAATTTAAACTTGCGTGTTGGGAGGCTTTAGAGGATTTGTATTTTTCACTTAGGCTTCCGGTGGAGTTAGGCGGTGCGCAGTCATTGATCCCGTTGCACAGTGCTACTGCTTCTGCATTGTTCACGTCGCTTCTGTCGTTGCATAATACCAGCTGGGGGTGCCTATCAGAAGGTACTCTTCGGAATTTTACGTTGGTTTTCATACAGTGGATTATGTAAGTGTCATATGTTTTTGAATGTCATTGCATATTATCATTTATCATTTCCGAGAATCCATAGCATGCCTATCTTCGGTAATGTTGTTAGTGAATTGTACTCTCTGAAAATGAATAGGCGTTTTATGTTGGAACATCGTGAATGGGACTTTTGATTTATTACCGGGCTAAATGGTGTTAACATGCCATGAAGGGAAAGGTATTTTTACTGCAGAAGAGGGTGTAAGATATGAGATTTCTCTTATTACCTGTTTTTCAAGTGAGTTGAGTTGGACCTGTGGTCTACTGATGTTTGATGCTGCACCTAGTTTTTAAGGGGTCGTAGTGTGTTTCCAAATTATATGTCTCATACTTTTTCATAGTGGCCGGATGGTATTGTATTTTACCAAGGGCTATTCTACAAAATATGACCACATTGGTTACTCTGTTGTTTATTTTTCCATGAGAACGTTAGCCAGCATCAATATTGTTGGGATTCATAATCTCAACACTAAGTAATAGCATTTCTTATATCTGATACAGATGGCTAAGCTGCATACGAAAATAAGTAGCTGAATGCATTGTTCGTAGTATTCTTCATACGTATTCTTGTGACATGGTGAAGGAAGGGGGAGAAATATCTCGACTCTGGAATTTGTTCTATTATGTATGGGTAGAATGACATGCCAAGTGTATTATATATATCATTTTTGCTGTTTTTCATGGTTTTGAATGTTGTCCATGAAAACTTCTTGGAACTTTAGTTTCCTAGACATCCTTATATCAGACGTACTACGATGCTTTTGTTAATGGTAATACATACCAAATTAACTAAGGGTTCTATTAATATGGCAACTCATCTTTTAATTTGGTAACTCTGGTCACTAATAAATCCCAAATCAACCTTAACCCTAAAACAGAGAAGATGATTACAATACTTAACAACCTTTCTAAAACAGAGAACATGGCTTATAAGCCACTAACAAATCCAACGACTAACCCGAGATCTAACAAACAGTTAACCATACTTAACTGATTCAACTAACAATTAACCCAGGTTACTCTCAACGAAGGATAACAATGGCTATTTGACCCCCACCAATCATAACATGACATTTGGTACCTAACCGTCGCTCTTCCATATTTCCTGTTAATAATGGTTTCGTTACTGATGGGTGATTGCGATCAAAGAGTGTTGTCTATAACCATGTCAAATGATTCTCTCTCACTGAGGCTTACTGAAGCATGACTCTATGTCCTCCAGGCTTCCTTCATTTTCTCACCTTGTATATTTGTAACTGGGTGCAGGTTTTGCAACTCCACTATAGCATGGCCACTGAGCTGCTGTTTCTGGGTACAAGGCGGGATCATGAATACAAGAGTTTGTTTCTGATTGCAATTGAACTTTAATGTAACTTCAAAAAGTAGATTATCGTTTCATTCTTTCTCGATGTTTTTCAGACTGTAGTTATGGTGACCTGACATTCTTCATGTCCTCGTTAGAAATTTTGAAAACAAGAGATCGGGAATGTCTTGGTACAAATCTGCGACTAGCTTACTGTTGTTTTTGAACCAATTGGTAAATTGGCTGTTATGGTTATTGGTTTTATTGGCAATAAAGTTTGCAATACATTATTGTATCATGACAGGGTCGATTAACTTAGATTAAGTTTGATAACCATTTCATTGCTAGATTTCAGTTTTCGTTTTCTGTAGCGGGAAAGTATTGTAAATTTTGTATTATTAACTTTACAGGAGCCTGGATCAAAAAAAAAAAAAAAAAGAAAAGAAAAAAAACTTTCCAGGAGCCTACTAGTTAATGGGTAGTGACAATCCGTGTTGGGTTAATGGATCATGTAAGAAATTGTCATGATTAATGTCTAAATCCGGCAAACAGGTCGTATTTGTATTGTTTACATGTTATACTCGTTATTTTAACGGGTTATTGACATGTAATCCAAAAACGACCCGGCTCGTTAGCCGGTTGACTCGGAACGTGTTATTTTTTTCGTCATTTTGTATTGAATTAACAAGTCGTACAAGAAATTGCAAGGACCTGTCAAAGCCACATTGCCTAATTTTGGAATTTTATAATTTCAGTTCATTGTAACTGTGAGTCTTGTTGACAAACAACAGCTCAATATCTTCGTTTCTCTAATTTTCAGTTCATTGTTATTGTGAATCTGGTTTAATTGGTAGATCAAACTGGTTTGAGCACAATAAAACTTCATATCAAATTAATAAAATAAACAACAATCTAATTTGGTATCGAATTCGTCGTCGTGATATTTTCCATTTTGACGATGTCAAATATAATTTAATTTTAGGTATCATTTTCCAAAGATGAAAAAACATTGATCGATTGATTCTTTTTCACCAAGAATTCAAAAACATCACGTGACGTACCAGCAAAATCAGACCGTTGCCTCAACGTTCGAAAATCTCCGAATTTTTAAAAAGTAACCTTTTGGCACACATAGCTCCCGTTGCCAACGGTCAGCTTAAACCTCAACTACTTCTTATCCCCAAACCCTCTGACAACTTAAAAGAGTTAAGAACTGTCTTCAACTCAACAAACTCGGTCGATTTTCCACTCAAATTTGGTTGATTTTCCGACAAAATTGCTACCTGGGTTTTCAATCTCCGACCGCGATCGTTATCTTCCCCAATTCAGCAACCTCAAAAAGGCGAAAAATGGCAGCTTTGGCACCGGGAATTCTACTGAAGCTCGTGGACGCAATGAACACAGGGGTCAAGCCGACGGGCGAATACCGGAGCGCGCTTCTGCAGATCACCGACATCGTCCCGGCAGACCTTGATGAGAAGAGCCTTTGGCCCACACAGGGCTTCTACATCAAAATTTCCGATTCTTCCCACTCAATTTACGCCAGCCTTCCTCCGGAGCACAATGACTTTGTTCTCAGTAATAAAATGCAGTTGGGTCAGTTTATATATGTCGATGGATTGGAGCCTGGGTCTCCGGTGCCGGTGGTGAAGGGAGCCAAACCGCTCCCCGGCAGGCATCCTCTGATGGGTACCCCGGAGCCGTTGATGGGGCTGAGGGAGAAGGGAGAGAAAAGCGAACAAATGTCGAATTTGAAGCCTACTAGAAGGGGGTCTTGGGGAACAGGGCTTAATGGAGCTGATGGGGTTTCGTCTCCCATGGTGTTAAAGCCTGTTCCTTTGGATTTCGATCAGTGCACTCCTGTTAAAGAGCGAGGCGGGCGAAATGGGTCGATGTCTCCAATGATTAGGGGGAGAGTGGGAAGAGACGGAGGGTTGAATTCGGGGATTCGGAGTTCATTTGGTGGTGGACTTCTGGCTAAGATGGCAGATTCGAAGGGAGGTGAAAGCCCTGCGTTGAGAAAGAGCTGTGTCACGCCATCTATGTCGAGGTTTCAGAGAAGCAGAAGTGTGTCTGATCGAGAGCCAAGGATCCCAATTAGCCCCTTCAACTCAGCTGTAGGTACATTGCTCCTCTTTAGCATATTTTTCTGAGCTGCACCGATTGATTTTTCTAGTTATTAGAATTTTTGTTTGTGGAAGAATGTTTGATTTTGTTTGCTGAAGACTGTTGTATTTTGTTGGCTGAGAATGCGAATTCTTGCTTTGTTGTAGGAAAAAAAGAAGAGCTCGACTCCACCACCGCGATTACGAAATGCAAGAGTGGCAACTTCACTCAATGTGGCTGGAGATGCAGCACAGAAATCCTCCAACTCGAAGGACACAAACACGAATTCTCAGCAGCAGCCGCAGCCCGGTAACTTGTGCAACGAAAACAGCACTAGCCTCCCCATGAATTTACCAGGAAGGCTCAGCTTGCTTGGCAAAGTAAGTACTTTCATCTCCAAGTGTTGCTTCTTGTTTACGACCGAAACCAATTTTTCTTTTGGGTTTTGACTCTTGAGATGAGATTATTTATGCAGGAAGCTGTGCAGCATAGAGAGACTGCTCAGAAGATTGCCCTTAATGCACTCAGAGAGGCTTCAGCTACCGATACCCTAGTTCGATCTCTCAAGTAAAGCGAATCCCCTCCTTTTTCTTATATAGTAGTGAAAAATTGAACTTTGAGATATTTGTTTGCTAAGATCAAAACCAATGCTTGCTTGTGCAGGATGTTTTCAAACTTATGCAGAACAGCTAGAGCAGATGCCCCATCAGCCTGCTTTGATAAATTCCTCGAATTCCATCACCAAATTGTCCAATCAGTAAATGATATGATGTCGATACAAGCGGCTACTTCAGCTTCTGAAATGACTCAGACTACTCCAAAAGTTAAGCATCACAAAGATAAAGATCAAGATGATGAAGAATTTTCTGTCCTGCATGAAATTGTTCAAAACTCCGTGAACTCTAAACTAAACTTGTCGAAAAGAAGGTGCGCATTGTACAAATCAGTTGCAGCGGTTTCTGAAAGAAGCGAGCAGAAAACGACAACGTTTGAGAAGCACCTGAGAAGCTCTACTCATCAAAAGCCGAAAGCACCATCCACTCCGCTCGGAAAGCTGAGTCTTGAAACCATTGGTGAAAACGACGAAAACAAGAAGCCGGCTTCTGCTAGTTTAAGCAGCTTAAGCAACACAATCAGGTTGAGTAAGCAGATCGAAACGGAAGCTGGGAACTGGTTTATGGAGTTTATTGAGATGGCATTGGAGACGGGGATGAAGAAATCAAAAGGCACGACAACGGATAAAGATATCCGAAAAGTGCCTCAATCTGTCATTCTCAGATTGATTAATTGGGTGGAAGTAGAACAGTGTGACAGCAGCAAGCGGCCTGTTCATTCGAAAGCAGCGCAGTTGGCTCGAAAGTTGAGGATCAAAGTGAAGAATCCTTGAAGTGTTGGCATTGCTAGTATTTGCGTTAGTAACATTATTTGGGGATTCTTTCTTCTGTTGCATTTGTTGAATTGAAATATCTTATTTGCATATGTTTTCTAGCATGTAATGGTGAGTGATTCAATATAGACAAAAAAACTCTCTTTACGTCACTCCTGATTTGTCATGCTAACTTTGACTCATTTTTGTGGACGTTATCTCTCACAATACCCTCAATTCAGGTGCTGTACCTATGAACCTCTCCAACTTCAAGTACTACCTTGTCAATTTGGCATCAACGTTTAGTCATTTTTAGTTTTTCAATCTTGAAAAAAAAAATGGTTTTATGAGTAATTCAAGTGAAGCTATATGATTGGGCAAACGAAATCCACTCAGTTACCACCTCAATACATAAATAGAAAATTTAACAAAAAAATTAACAGAATGACCAAATTAATTTGCGTGAGCCATTTTATTGATGAATTCTTATTTCATACACCATTTTAGTTGAAAGATTCAATCTCAATGAACCCCCAAAAAAAAAAAAAAAAAAAAAAATCCTAATTTCTACTACACAGTCAGAACTCCAAAAAAGAAATAAAAAGGAATAGATTTAAAATACCAATAATACCCTCACAAGTTTCTCTAAATGACACCCCTACTATCCTTCTCCTATCCGGCGAAGTCGGATTTCTTTCCCTCTTCGAAGTTCGAACGCAAATCGAAACCCCACTGGAAAACCCCAAATTATTCCAAAACCTCAACCCCGCCAAGAATCCTCCTGTGCCTGCCGTAGCGACTGCCGTTTTCCTTCTCCAAGCCGCCGGTGAGTATCTTTCTCGATCCCAATCTTATTTTTTATTTCCCATCCAATCCCTCTCTTCCGATTTCTTTTCGTTCGATTTCCAATTTCAAATTTAATGTATGAAGTCTCAATTTTTCAGTACAGGGACCAAATTTAGGACTTAGGGTTCGTCTTTGTTTCTATGAATGGATCTTCTCCGAGCATACTCTGATCAAAACGACGACGAATCGAACGAGCCAGAGGAGCACAACCAAAACCCTAAATCCGCACCGTCGTCCCCAGACACGTCGCCGCCTCGGCTCCTCCCCGCCAAGTCCGCGGCGCCCAATGTCGACGACACTATGCTGGCCCTGGCGGTAGCCGGGGCCAACCGGTCTTCCACCCGCCCCATCGACCCGACCCAACACATCGTCGGTTTCAACCCCACGTACGACCAGCTGTGGGCGCCCATCTACGGCCCATCCCACCCGTACGCCAAGGACGGCATCGCCCAGGGGATGCGCAACCACAAGCTCGGCTTCGTGGAGGACGCATCGATTGAGCCCTTCGTGTTCGACGAGCAGTACAATACTTTTCACAAGTATGGGTATGCTGCTGATCCATCGGCCTCTGCTGGGTACAATTATGTTGGAGATTTCGAGGCCTTGCAGAAGAACGACGCCGTTTCTGTGTATAACATTCCCCAGCACGAGCAGAAGAAGCGGAAGATTGAAAAGAGGAAGGAATTGGACGAGAATGAGGGTGAGGATGAAGATATGGACCCCGAGGAGGTCCAGAACCCGGCTAGTGACGTGTGGTTGATGAAGAATAAGAAGAGTCCGTGGGCGGGAAAGAAGGAGGGTCTGCCAACGGAGCTGACTGAGGAGCAGAAGAAGTATGCAGAGGAGTATGCCAAGAAGAAAGGCGAAGAGAAAGGGGCTGGCGATAAGGGTGAGGCTGTGGTTGAGAAGACTACGTTTCATGGGAAGGAAGAGAGGGATTATCAGGGTAGGTCTTGGATTGCACCGCCGAGAGATGCTAAGGCATCTAATGATCACTGTTATATTCCGAAGAGGTTGGTGCACACTTGGAGCGGGCACACAAAGGGTGTGTCTGCTATTAGGTTCTTCCCTAAGTACGGGCATTTGATTCTCTCTGCCGGGATGGATACCAAGGTGAAGATTTGGGATGTTTTCAATACCGGAAAGTGTATGAGAACTTACATGGGTCACTCTAAGGCAGTTCGGGATATTTGTTTCTCTAATGATGGGAGTAGGTTTTTGACTGCTAGTTATGATAAGAATATCAAGTACTGGGATACTGAAACTGGGCAGGTGATATCTACATTCTCAACCGGGAAGGTTCCTTATGTTGTCAAGCTGAATCCAGACGAGGATAAGCAGAATGTATTGTTGGCAGGTATGAGTGATAAGAAGATTGTTCAGTGGGATATGAATGAGGGGAAGATAAATCAAGAGTATGATCAGCATTTGGGTGCTGTGAATACGATTACGTTTGTGGATAATAACCGTAGGTTTGTTACTTCCAGCGATGACAAGTCGCTTCGCGTATGGGAGTTTGGGATCCCTGTGGTTATTAAGTATATTAGTGAGCCTCATATGCATTCTATGCCATCAATTTCACTGCACCCCAATTCCAATTGGCTTGCAGCACAGAGTATGGACAATCAGATTCTGATTTATAGCACTAGGGAGAAGTTTCAGCTCAATAAGAAGAAGAGGTTTGCTGGGCATGTCGTCGCCGGGTATGCTTGCCAAGTCAATTTCTCGCCAGACGGACGGTTTGTTATGTCGGGTGATGGTGAAGGTAGATGCTGGTTTTGGGATTGGAAGACATGCAAAGTCTTCAGAACTCTCAAATGTCATGAAGGGGTATGCATTGGGGCTGCATGGCATCCCTTGGAGCAAAGTAAAGTTGCAACATGTGGCTGGGATGGCTTGATTAAGTACTGGTAAGTAAAGTTTCATTTTGTAACACTTTAGGCCGCTTTGTCATCATTCCTACGTGCAATACTTGGTTTTCTGATTTATGTGTCTATTAGTTCAATTAGTTGTTGTAACCGATGTGCCTATATGCATTCATGTCTGCTAAAAATCATGCCAGGAATTCGTAATGCCAACTTTTGATGCTCGATATATCTGGTAGCTAAGTAGGGTTTATTGATGAAATGCGATGCTCTGTATATTTTGTGTATGTAGCAATTTCAGGATATCAAACTTAAACCTTGTTCACATCTAGCCTCTATGTTTGAGAACTATAAATGTAGGATTCAGACTTGAGACGTGTTGCTTTCTCTCTGGAAGAAGCTTCTTTTCCTCCACCCACGACACAGATATAGGAGAAATCCCCCTCCTTCAACCCCCTCACCCCCCCAAACAAAACCAAAGCCTTGAACTCGTACCTCATACACACCCTGTTCCTTTATTTCGAATCATTCTTTCTTTCCCTGCCTAATTGTGCTATAGAAAGTTCTCTGTGCATGTGTTTTACCTTTGTTTTGAAAATCATCGAAATAAAGTCAATGTGCTGACTTTATTTTATGAAACCTTAAATGGATAAATGCTACTAAGATGAATGGAATATGTTTCTTTGTTATGCGATTGATTTTAACGACAGTAGGTTCCATCCCACAATTGATTCATTGGTTTCATTGTTCGTTAAGAGATGTTGCAGTTGCTTTACGCGCATGTGTACTAGTTGACTAAATTTTTCATACCTTGTACTCTCCTAGAATATACGAAGTTTGATTAATCTTTTCGTGTGGTTTGCAGGGACTAGCTGCATTTCACTTCGGTTTGGATGAGGGACGATAACTTGATGTACCCTTTTCTGTTCCATATGGGGGGTATAGTGCCGTTATCATCGGATGTACCCATCTTGGGGATTGCCGGACTTAAGGTTACGTATAAAGATTGCAGCACAAACTCTGCCCACATCTTTATCTTACTACAATCACCATATGTACTTGTAATACAAATTTTTCGGCTTTTTGTTGAATCTGTTCTTGTAGTTTTGAAGACTTTGAGAAGTTCTACAGGAGTAACGTTTTTGCAAATGTTTATGTACTTGTATTTTATTAAGACTTTGAGAAGTTGACAGCCGATGATAGTCCTCCTCTGCTTGCATATAATCTTGTAGCAAAAACTGCACCTTTCACCATATGGTGCAATACATGTCCCACGCGTTGAAACCTCAGTGGCAGGAAAATATTCGACTTTGGTTTGCATTTTTATCCACAAATTATCTAATGAGGAACTAATCTTGCATGAGGATACGAGTGATCGTTAATCTGCTACTTACGTTCTGCAACTATCCCTTAGATTTATCCTGCATTGGAGTGGGATATGAGGAATCGTCACTCACATTCTACAACTATTTCGTGTTTGGATTTATAAACAGAGAAAATTTAACTTGAAATTTGAGATCTCTAATTTTCAAGTTTAAATTTTATATAAATGTGTTATTTTTAAAGCATATCCTAATCTCCACTACCTACCCCCACCAAATTATTTTTTGCTGTGCGTCAATGATATTATTGGTGGGTCCAACACAATTTTCGCCGTTAATTCATGCATTTGGTTATAATACTTAAACGTATTAATATAGTCATAATCTTGACGTTAAAAAAATGATTGTACTAAACATAAATATTCACATGCATGCATATGATCGTTATATGGTCACTTTGAAGTTACACATTTGATAAAAAATTATTAAATTATTTGATTTAACGGAATCTAACAATTTTTGCTTTGATGTGTAAATTAAATGTGAAACCAGCAATCCACAGAGTTGGAATCACTTTAAATAAATATTGACATAAAGGAGGAAAAGTAGACATAAATGTCCAGCACTATCGTTCGAATAAATTATAAATTGCTTGTTCCCCCTTTCAACCCTCTCCAACATTATTGTTCGGAAATAGGATTATTTCCCTTCTTTTTTTACCTATTCTTCTCTTCCCTTCTATTTCAAGGATCACGGTTAAACTACGTTAACATCTTATATTAATTTTTTTTATAGAAAAAGAAAGACAAAATAGAAAATGTGAGAGAAATAGATGGAAGGGGATGGAAAGAGGAGAGAAGATAATCCCAATCCATGTTTGTGCACACCGCAGAGGTTTTGGCCTCAATGGGAAAATCAAACAGAGAAGCTAACAATGTAAAGTCATAGACCAAGAATTACAAGATCGCTCCTTTCACTCTGAAGTGATAGAGGGATTGTATCATAAGTTTTCTTTTCATGCTTTTCCCGGAGGTTTGGAAAAAGCTACAATCAATAAGAATTTCCTAATCCTCCCTTCCCGAAAGAAAGAACGTGAAAATTATTACTCGCGCGTGAAATGCTACAAGTGGGTATGAATCGACGACGTTGCTTGTGTTGGGAGTAATTAGTGAAGCATATGTTGGCAATGCAATAAGGATAAGCCAAATAGCAGCACTCTAAAAGAAAATGGCAGGGAATCACTTTAGGAAAAAGCATCTCTTAAAAGCATAAGGTGTAAAATGGTGAGCATTGCATTAAGAAATCTATCAGCACTATCTTTGTTCCGTACTATACAGTTGAAGCACGATGCTAACTCACCAGAAATGGTCAGTAATGCAGACGACTATGATGCACGCCTTGTCCTGGCCAATCTGGTATCCTCTTAGCTCTCGAAAAAATGGCATTTTAACCGATTTTCCCACGCTATACAATGCTAAACTCAAAAGATAATTTACACCCTGTCTGAGCTATACATGGATGGAAGACCTGATTCAATGCTCAGTTAGTTGCTGCATCTGTGCACCGGATTCGGTCAGTATCCCATATGCCGGTTCATTCTTCAGAAGCACCAACCGCTGGAGCAGATTCTTTTGAGAGATTAACAAGAGCATCTCGAAATTCTTGCCTGAGTACTTTCCGGATTTTCATTCTCAAACTTGAAGCTGCTTCAGGTTTGAACCACCGCCTGCCAAACTGGGAGTTCAAGATAATTAATCGAAGACGGAAAAGTTAAGAACAGAAGAAACATGTTTGAGATCATTCTATTTTCTCTTCAAGGACGGAAAGGTTGAGAATAGATGAAACACACTACCATTGACAAATCTTTCCTTTTCAGCCTTTCAGGGGCCTCTTCGATGAAGCGCTCCATGAAGAAAAGGACAAATAGACCACAATCATATTCATTTCGCTGTTGGGGGACCTGGTGGGAAATACAAAAAGAGGTAAGCTTCAAACCAACCAAGGCAGGCTAGTCATTCAAGCACAACATGCCCCGCACTTTGGGGATAGCTGGGTATTCTTTGGATGTTAGCAACCTTTCCAACTTCCTAGCCACAGTGAAATTTGAAGTTTTAAGTGAAATGTCCAAGAGCTTTATGATCTTATACAATTTTAACACACAACGTCTCAAAATTAAGTATATACTGTACTTGTAATTCTAATAATCATATGCCTATGGAAATGTGGAACAAATTTTCTTTTTTTATAGTAATGGCATTCTAACATTTAAACTTCAACAATTTAAGAGCAAAATGTACCGCAAGTTTTTTCTCTTCAATTTTTTGGGGAAGTTGCTTCCATATACTGTCGGAAATAGGAAGATCTGAAACGGCAACTTCTGGACCCAAATAATTCCATTCTGCTCTCAGATAGCTGCTTAGGACATTAGTCATCAATTCCATCACCATTAACTAATTGAAATAACCTAGCAAGACATAAACAGATTAAGGGCACGTTTTGTCTCACCTTTTAATATTTTGAAAAACAGATCTAGGACAATGGACTCCGGATAAAGAATCTAAATGAAGTACAATGGGTCCTGATTCTTCTTCCTTGTCAGGGATGCAGATAATCACTAGACTCCAATGTTTACTGGATACGTCAAACACCATAATGAAATCATATGTTTGGTAGTTTAAGTAACAAAAAAAAAAGCTGGAAACTAGGATACAGAAAACATACCACATTAGTTTATCATAACATTTGAAAATTGATGAATACTAAAACACTGAGAGAAAATGATTTATACAAGTTTTTTTTTTCTTGAGCACTTTGTGTTTATATCATTCATCCGAGTTCAAAAGTCAACCATATTGATCCAGCCTCATCTTAGTTAGATACAGGATTTATCCCGCTTACTGCTTTTTACTACAATGGTAGCAACTATATAAAAGTCATTAGTCATTGGCAAGGCAGTCAAGTCAACTAACCATGCCAGACACGCAAGTACAATAACTTCTACCCACATTCTCGTGAGCATTAATCCAGACAAGGCTTCCAACATTTCATCCCTTTTCTTCTGTTAAGGTGCATCTCATCTTTCAGCACTTGATCAAGTAGAAATTAAAATTTTAAAAAAAATATATCAAATGAGCATCAAGATGGCAAACAGTTTATTCCAGTTATGAGCTTTCTAGCAAGTATGTCCATTGTCATCTGCCACATTTTTCTACCCATGAACAATCTTACAACTACAAGTACTTAATCTTAGCAGTAACAAAAAGACTTACTCTTCATTTATAGGAATAAGTACATATGCCTTCTCAAATATATTAACACCCTTCCACCATCTCCTAAACTTGCCAAAACGTTTATCCTTGTCGTCCCCCTACATGGTACAAGGGAAACAAGCTAGCAAAAATGAGCATGATATAGCCATTGCATGATATACTGATATGTGTGTGTATGTACATATATACGTATACATCATAGGCTTTTCAGTCAAGATCTACGCCAGATGTCTCCACTCACTGTTTCTAAAAGTGTAAAAGAAATTATGTGGTATGAGTAGTTTCCATAGTCTCTAAAGACTTTGAAAGTCTCGACCATATTGGCCGATCATTAAGCACATAAAAAATGGATTCTGAGTTTCTAAAACAAATGGATTACCAATTTAACTAACCCAATTTTTGGCACAGAAACAGCAAGCACTGAAAGTAGAACAAGATAAATACTTACCTTATATGCTACATCCTCCTTGAGTTTCTCATAAAAAAATGTATTAAAGAAATGAAAGTTGCGTAACGCTCTGTCTGTTGGGGATGTTTGTTGTTGTAGATATCTAGTCAAAAGATATTGCAACATCACATATATGATATGGGAAAAGATAGGAATGCATGTCCGTTATTGTGACCTATAAATCTGCATTTACAGAACTACATCTAAAATAGCTAACCGAATGTAGAAGTTCATGATAGTTGATGTCAAGTAGCCTTCAGGATCAAGGCACCCAATGTCCGCATAACAGATTTCTACAGATTTTGGATCATTTCTGAATACGACAAAAAAAAAAAAAACACATGATTATCAGTTGTACTCTATATCCTCAACATTCAAAGAGGTCTCTTTGCATCCTCTCCAAAAAGAGATTTTCTACCTTGATGGGTAGTAGATCTTAACCTCGTTAATGCTGGAAAAAAGAGACAAGGTAAACAGATTATTGTATTGTTAATATCAACCTCAATTTTGGCTAAGTCTGAAACACGGTAAAAAAAATTAGCAACAGTTTTTTATATTATAGGTACCCCTCGGGAAGTTCTTCTTCTTGCTCTGCTGTGTCCACAGGTTCAGCATCCTCCTCATCCAGAATTTCTACAACGGTCTGACCCTGCTATAATCATGAAACTATGGATTTAATTACTAAATGGAGAAAGTGACAGGATATATAAACTATGACAGGACAAAAACACAATGCCCATAAGGCAATGATCACACTAAAATATATCTAATTGTAGCAAAAGTTTCACCCATCAAGACAACTTCTCACTAATTCCAACATTTTCAGTTAAAAAGAAGGTGCCCAGATAAAATGTAGAATGAAACACAAGACATTGTACCCTTTGATGCCTCGAACCATTTATTTGAGAAGCGTCATTCCAGCTGGAAAGAAGGAAAAGAGAGAAATGCAAATTATTAAATAAAAGGGGTATTAGCCATTAAGGCTATCTAGTGTAGTTAGAACTTCAATAGAAGATAATACACTGAAAGCGAACGAGGTAAAAGAAAAGACCGTTACCTTCTGCCACAACTAGACAAGTCTTCTGCAACGTGGCGAAGTGAACAAGGGAAAGAAGCCCCGCCTTTATGACCACCATTTGAAAGAGAACATTTTTCTCGTCTATGATTAAAACTGCTAGAGCATTGACGAGGTACGTTTCTTGATGAAGATCTACCTTTCCGTCCTCCTTTTTGCAATAACTCTCCATTGCTTTTCATGCTCTGCTGGTTGCATGGAAGAAGAGATGATTCTGTTTGAGCTTCATTGGCTGTCCTAGAATCAGACTGCATTAAGAATAGACCGAAGCAATTATATTTAAATTTTAAAAGCCACTTATTCAAACAATAAAGAAGAATATGGTGGATCGCATTACCTTTTCTTCCATCTTTTGTTCAAAATGGCAAGCAAATTCAGACTTTGGCTTTGGCAGAGGTGCTGCAGCCTCATTTTTGAAGCCAGTAGAATCATCTAGAAGCCACATTTAAGTTTCTTAAACACGAGTTCCGCAAAACATATAAAATGATATTTGCAACACCACAGTACTTAACCATGCAAACAATCCGTAGCAAATTCGGTTCATTTAATGTGTAACTTTTTAGTGAACACAACACATCGATGAAAGAAAGGGCTTACCCATGTTTCTGTTTTTACAGCTCGTGGCTTGTGCGATCTCCTCCCACCTACTGGTGTTCTATTCAATGAAAACCAAAGCAACTACGGTCAGAAGACTCAGAATCAATTTTGATAAGCACTTTTCTGAGAAGTACTTCTACATAAACATTCAGAATTCTGATTTCCAGCAATTCCAACCAGACTGAAAAGGGCATGAAGCACATCAATATAAAACTAGAAATGAAGCATTAAACCCCCACCCCCCAAAAAAAAAATTTAAACTTTGCATTCAATTTTGCCCCCATTTTCTGAGAAACCAAACAGAACAGAAAAGCAAAACGCACCTTTTCAAGCCGACTGCATCTCCTCCGCTCCTTTTCGTCCTCCAACTGCATAAGAGCCACCCGGAGCTTTTCGCCTTTGTCCGGCAAGCTGCGGCTCAGTTTCTCAATGTTACTCTTCTGCCGCTTAATCTTCTCCTCTAGCTCGTGATCGGCTATGACATAGAAGAAATCATCCCGCTGCTGATCACCGCCCCCCATTCCGGACTGCTTCGGCGGCTGCTCCTCCGCGGCCGTAGCTTTCCGCTTTGACTCCGGCAAAACCACCCTCTCCAGCGGGTCGCCGCTGTCGTCGAGACAATCCAGCACCTTGCTGACATCGATCCTCCTCTTCCCACCCGTCTCTTCCTCCATGCAGAGAATGCGAAAGCCCCAAAATGTCTACTCTCCCTCTCTCTAATCGGAAGCTCTCACACTCCCTTCTCACCGGTTGTGATTTTATACTGACTCACCAGCTCTTATGTCACGACAAAATCAAAAACCTAATAAAAATAATATTCGGTAGATCAATTTTTTAAACCAAATACGTTATATAATTTATAAAATTTAGATCAAAAATTAATTTATTTAACATTACTTGAATAATGTTAGGTAGACCCGACTAACCAAATTGAATAGTAACATTTTATGTTTTCGACTTTAGCTAAAAATCGAATTATTATAAACCAAATTAAACCCTATTGTTTAAGGTCGTCTCAATGTTTAAGAAATATCATTACATTTTTATCCAAAAAAAACCTCACTTTACATCGTCAACATTTGCGATCAATTGTAAAATATAATGTACAAGATGTTACTTTGTTCACAATTGGACTTAATGTCACATCCCCGTCCGGGCTCCCAATCACATTTCGGGCTCGACTCCACCGTAGCACGATATTGTTTACTTTGGGACATCCAGCACGATATTGTTCGCTTTGGGACATCCCGGGCTCGACTTCACCGTAGCACAATATTGTCCGCTTTGGGACCCGACCACGCCCTCACGGTTTTGTTTCTGAGAACTCATACGATAACTTCCCAGTAGATCACTCATCATGGGATTTCTCTCGCACGAACTCGCTTAACTTCGGAGTTACTATGAAACCCGAAGCCACTGAGTTTCAAAAGACCTCGTGCTAGGTAAAGATGGAAATATACACATGATCCACTCCCTAGACGACGTGGAATGTTACAATTAACCCTTTTGACATCGTTCAATTTACACATTTTATTTGGCTAATTAGCTGATCAATCATTTAGTCTAATGCGTGCCTTCTAAACGTGGTAGTCGTTCCATAGAAAATACACAAGTGTTTAACATGTGTGTCCTGCACTTACAACGTCGTTAGTTAACGGTTATCTACAATCAACCTAATGAAATATACAAATTGGATGTCAAAACATTAAGGTATAATTCCAGAAAATTAAAAACTGAGTGTCCAATTTGAAAAACTTGGACTTAACTACACACACAAAGCCAAGTGGGGACCTAAAAAGTGAGAATCTTATGTCATATCATGTCACAATAATGTAAAATCTACTTAAAGTGAGAAATTTTTTTGACGTCTTCGGAACATATGTGGTACACTATCTGTTTAAGTGGAGGAGAATTTTATTTTTCAAGTTGTTAATTTTTTTAACTCAAGTATCTCAACATTTGTATAATAACACGTGGTATACTATCACAGGTTCCATACATATTAAAAAATCTCTTCTTAAAGGTAACAAAGTTTTACGAGTGTATTTTTGTTCACCACCATAAACTGTGATGGCATACACTAATTATATGCTACGCGTCATTTCACTTGACTTTAGGTAGTTTTTTTTTCAAAATTAAAAATATAATGACACGTAAACTCATAGTAGACGATTAATTATTACACCATAGTTTTTGTGGCCTATATGTTCTTTCGAGTTTTGTTGGCCAATCGAGGTGCGACACGTATACTGCTAAACAAACAAATTTTTTACTTGTTCCGGAACACTAACCCGTGTAATTCGTGCATAAACTCTCCCCTTGTTCTCTCTCTGTCACTATCCTTCTCCTTGTTTCTCTCTCCTAGGGCACGAAAACAGCAAAAATTCACCCACAGATTTCAATTCTTTCTAGCCATGGCGGACACTCCTTCTCCCGCCACAAATCCACTGTCCAATCCCCAATCCAGTAACCCTAATCCCCAATCTAACCAACCTGATCCCGTACCCGCCTCCACCACACCACCACCACCACCACCACCACCATCACAATCATCGTCGTTATCATCCACACCTATCACCGTAAACCCTGATTCGAATCCGCCTCTAGTATCTCTGCCGCCTCCACCGTCACATCCTTCGATCTCCTTCGCGCCACAACAGGTTTCCGGCGCCTTACCGCCGGTCGCGCCGTCTTTCCGGCCGGTTCCACAGTTCACTCCAATACCGAACCCCTGTGTGCCCAATCCGAATTATCAAATCCCCGGTGTCCAGCCGCCTGGTGTGAGCTCCGGAGCTCCGATGGCTCCTGGTGTGCCCCCGCCGTCCTCGGCCCCGCAGAATATGATGCATTATCAGATGCAGCCTATGAGACCGTACGCACCGATGCCTAATGGATACGCACCCATGTCCACTGGTGCTCCTCAAGGCGCCTTACCTGGTGGGTTTTTGCTTCTCTCTGTAATCACTTCGTTATTTCGTATTTTTTTTTTTCTGCTATTCAATTTCCATTCAATTCCAAATATTTGTATTTATTGTTGGTTCTCGTATTTCAATTGCTTGGTGCTGTTTTGGTATGAGTTGTTCAAGAAATACTTAGGTCCAGTTGCTTAATGTGCCACACGGAATTGCTTGAGTGCATCAAGCTTTTGGTTTTTGTCTCGAAAAAGTGAAAAGTAAATAACTTTGTTTAATCTACGGATAGCAATCAAATTAAGACCAATGGTATAATACAGTGGGAAGAGTTTGCTAAAGCAGAGTTCGGAGTTTGTTCAGAAAAGTTAGTGTAGTGTGTTAGATTGAGGGTATCGATGACAGGATGTTTTCTCGTACAGTGTCTTGATTGAATTCGGTGAGAAAGGTTGGAAGGCTTGCTTCATATTGCTTTGAGAACCCCCCATCTACAACTCCTTTTTTGGTATGCACATATTTTGAAGTTTTATTCAAGCTCAAGTTGGTCTGGAGTTCAAAATATAAATGAATATTCCCAAATTTCGGAAAATTTTACTGTTCAGTTTGTCATGCTAAAGTTACATTACCATGTCGTGTTTATTTGAGTAGGATGCTTTCTGGTAATTTTAAGGATACTATCCCTTTCATGGGTTTATGAATTGCCAGAAGCAGACCATGTTTGCAACTGAGTGCTCATTGCCCTTGTGTTCTAAGGTACTGAAGTCTTTCTATCCATAGATACATATATATGTGCATCATCCATTCATCCATCCATCTGACAATCAATCAATCTATTTATATATACATTTAGACATCTAATCATGTGTTTATTTGTGCGTGTTTTTAGTACTATGTGCTTGTTTGTTAAAATTTTGTTTTTAATCTTCTAACGTTCTCATGCTGCATTGCCTACTGCTAACCTTTTGAGATGAATTAAACTGTCGGTATATCAAGTATGTGTAATTCTCATCAACCCCTATATGCATGAGATATTGGAGGTTTTATTATACTTGAGAAGGCTACTTTGGTCTGAGTGGATGTGCAAGGTAAGCACAATTTATTCATTCATGGTTTATGAACACGATGCTGCTTCTTAATGTTTCCTTCAGGTTATCTGTTCAGCTGGTGGTAGTTGCTATGCCTGTGCTGCCATCTCTAATATTCTTTTAATGTGTGGTAACAAAAGTCATTATTTAGAGTCATACTGTTTTTCATACATCTGTTTAGTTTGGGGAGGGTCACCTATCCATCATCGGATCCAGTTCATAAGCGTTCTCTGACATATTTGCAAGATATTTATTTGTGTTTTTGTAGGACTTCCTCGTTATCCTTCATATCATCCAATGATTCGGACCCCGTTTCCTCCACGCCCACTGGGAGCAACTGGTTTGCTTCAGCGTGCCCCTGTTCCTGGGATTCCTGGAGTTCGCCCGATTATCCCTCCTGTTGTTAGGCCAATTCTTCCTATTGTCGCTCCAGCTGAGAAACCACAAACCACTGTTTATGTTGGGAAGATAGCACCAACAGTGGACAATGAATTTATGAAATATCTCCTCCAGGTGTGCTGTCAAATTACTGCGATTTCTGTTGTTCTTTATCAATTTTCCCACTGTTTTGTTATGTTACCCAAATTTATAAGTTGACTTCTGATGGTTTACCTTTTGTGAAGTTGTGTGGACCTGTCAAGAGTTGGAAACGTGCTCAAGATCCCACAGATGGGACTCCTAGGCGCTTTGGGTTCTGCGAATTTGAATCTGCTGAAGGGGTTCTTCGGGCATTGCGTCTTCTCACTAATTTGAGCATTGATGGGCAGGACCTTGTGGTATGTCTTGATTCTAATTAGATAATTTGTCAGTTTAATTGTGTATGTTTTTTTTTTTTTTCTTTTTTTGTCATTGTCATTATGGTGCAATGGAAAATCTCACGGCCTTCCTTAGTAATCATGCCATATATACTTCTCCGCACATTCAGCTTTGCTTATATTTATCTCTTTATATTTGATGCTGTAAACATAAACAGTTAAATGTTAATCAAGCGACAAGAGAGTATCTGGAGAGGGTTGTTAAAAAGAAGACTGAAAACTCAAAGAAGCTCAAAGAAGCTGAAGCAGCTGAGAAAGGTGATGGAAGTGCACTAGACGTTGAGAAGAATGTACCTTCAAATCCTTCTGTACAAGACTCAAAGGAGGAAGATGGTAATTCGAGTAACAAAGAAAATGACCCTGCCAATTTTGGAGTTGTGACTGACGAAGACAAGGAAGCTGACCGGGAGGCTATGGAGAAGCTTACAAGTTTGATAGAGGAGAGAATAAAAAACAAACCTCTCCCTCCTCCGCCACCTACACCAGCCCCTGGTGATGTTACTAGGAATTCAAACTCAGCGCTGCCAGCTAAATCAAGGGATGGAGACTCTGATGTTGATATAACAAGAAATGGTAAGTCTCATGTTTGTACTTAATAAGCAATGAAGTTGCTTAGAGTCATTTATTAGTGGCAGTTTGTTGTTATACTTATAATT